TGCTGTTAATATACCACAACTACAAATAAAGTAACACAAATTACAGATTCAAACTCATATCTTGACTAAGTAAACAAAGTTAACAAGATAAAATGATGATTCAAATAGTTATATTGTCTAGGGTAGAGCCAAAAGTTACTTGATCCATACTATTCTTGTATAGCATGTTTTACCAATGAATAAACTTATAAATACATAGTCCATTCCTTGCATTTTTGCTCATCCGAAATTCCAAAGTGCATGGTTTATAAGGTCCGAAAGTAGTTTTACATTTCTGATTCAAAATACATTTAATCTACCACAGAAAATCCTTCATTCTGGCATTGCATGCTCATAGAGAGAGATGATCAACTGTCTATCATATCCAAAATGTACAACTCTAACACATTGAGATACTTAGAGCAGACTAATACAAAAGCAAGTTGGTGTGATGAAGAAATTAATAACCTCTTCACTAGGAGAAATGCCCACTCGACAAACAGTGGCGATGATTTTAAGGGCATCTGAAACCCTCAGTGATGTTGCAAGTCCTCGAACTAACAAGGTATATGTAGTAACATCTGGCCTTGACCACCTCCATCTATCATAGGATGGGCCTCTTTCTGAAACAGTTGTCCCTTAAATATGGGCAATTCAAGTGCATCAATATTGGGGATATCAATGAAAAGCCACAAGATACAATAGAATCATAGTGAAAGTGGCACTGCATATCATAGAAAACTTGTGACGACAGGTTTCACATATTTTATTCATCTCAAATTCCTCATATCTGAAAGCTTAACTATATTATCAAAGGAGCTTACTCTCAGCAGTGATGGTACCCGTATTGGGGAAGATGGAACGATGTATAGTTCATACTCTCTCCATTATATGACGGTATTTGAAGGGACATGAATTTTAAGATGTTTTGATGAAGATGAAGTTTAAGATGCTAATTTGACTTGTTTATTATATTAGTGATAGTGGAACAAAATATTAAAATAATAGTTTGAAAAGTTAGTTTGCTGAAGAAATTCACATTATAGTTTAAAATTCAAATAATTTAATGAACGTAAAGTCTTGAAAGTTGAGAAAGTTATATATATCAAACAACTCGAAACGGATGGAATCCCTTTTAAAGATTTTGAAAATATTTGTATCAAATTCACAAGTCATTGAGTAACACGAAAAGTTGCTTTTTTCCCTATGATACCATAAAGCTATAATCACGTAGGTGTTTTTAAATGAGCAAGTATTATGAAAGGCCAGGGAATCACTTCTTTAAGAATAATTATTTGCCTTCAATATGCATGTTTAAACAGCCATTTGGTCACTTTGCATAACATACATCAACTAAGTTCCAACTTCAGATGGAAACAATGAACAAATTCCCAGCCACACTAAAGCAAACTTGTCCCACTTATTTAGATGTCACAAACAAGAAGAAAAACTTTGCATCATTCAAAATTTTTGTGTAGCTCTGCATTCAATCCTATATCTCCTCAAGTTGTCTAGACTTTGCATTATTCAAAATATTTGTGTGGTTTTGCATTCAATCATATATCTCCTCAAGTCTTGGGGAAGAACCATAAAACATTCGCCTCTTTTTGAAAACCACTCACCCCCCTCCCCCAAACACCCTACCACAAGTTTCAAAACATCTCTTTCTTAAAATTCGTGCTTGGTCAAACTATGACAGATAAGTAGTGGTACCTTTTCTTGGTTCACATTCCAATTGATAGACAGACAAGAAAGAAAGATATGGAATGTACCAGGATCAAAGGTGGAACGCATAGCGTCAAAGACAGAGAGTGCCAAGTCAGCATTATTACGATCAAGTGCGGCGGAGATAATCAAACAGCAATCAGAAGCGCTAATTACACCACCGCTTCTCCCAGTTTTTTGGGATATTATTTCCAATACTTCACTCTCATCTTTGGCAGCAGAAATCGGACTAATCAATTCATCATTTAACAACTCTGACTGCACCTTGTTTTCACCCTCAGCCTCACTCAATGAAGCTTTGTGCTTGAAGAAGTTAAAGGTCTTGGAGGAACAATAGTAAGAAAAAGTAAGATTTTTGGAGAAAGGAGTGGCAGAAGGGAGGAGAAAAAAGTAATTTGGGAAGCGATGGGAAGGGAAAGAGAAGCGGGGAAAGGAAGGAGAAAACAAGCAGAGAGTCATTTTCTGTTTGGATAATGCTGAGATTGTTTGTCGAGCCTCACTATATGTGCTGAAGCTGGAGATTAGGAACGAGAGGTTGTTAAAAAATGGAGGTGCGGGGAATCGAACCCCGTGCCTCTCGCATGCGAAGCGAGCGCTCTACCATATGAGCTACACCCCCGATCGCGTGCTTTTAGATTTTATTTAACAAGTCAATACAGTGATGTCCAAGACAGTGCCAAATCATTACGCCTTACATCCGGATCGGAACTTGGAAGGTTGACTTTTGGGTATTTAACTTTGTGTTGCAGCTCACCGAGACGACGACCCTGACACAAAAGGTTTAAGCTTAGCCTCAAGGCACTAGTATTTTGATTATGATTTTTTTTAGTATTCTATTTTACCCGTCACAATAATTAGGAATTGAGAATCTATCAAAGGAGCGAGAAACTCAACGTCACTATTTTTGAACAATTTGAAACAGAGCCTCTTTCTTCATTCAGGAAAGGTGAAGATTGAATCGGAAACCCAAAACGAAACATGAACAGACTTGTTTCGTATTTTCTGTTTCATTGTATGTAATCTGTTCTCTTTCTTGATTCATTTAAAATTTGTACATTCCATACTTGAAAATTCGTTAGCTTAAATATTTTCCCTTATTTTTAAGGACATAGCATGTTAAAGGCTTTCGATAAAGTATGGTATATATTTAGCTCATATGTCACACTCACTATTCTTTTATTGGAATTTCAGTCAAATACTTTCATAGAGGAAGGTGTATCATTTCAGGTTTAAGTACAGGTTATTAAAATTTCAAAGAACATAAGCACAGTAATACATAAATAAACGAACTTCTACCTCTGATTAACAAAAATGATTTTACCGTGAAGAATCATGAGAATGAAAAATAAGAATAAGCAGAGGAGATGCTGAAGCTTCTATTGGAAAATGACAAATCATGTCTTCTGCATTTCTACTATAATCGTTCAGCTCAATTCTATGTTTTCACACTAATAGCGATTGAACAATTTTTAGAAAATTTTGCGATTGAGACTAATAATATAGTTATGTCACGCCCCGAGCTTGGGGGCGAGACCGGCACCCAATGCCTCACCTATCCTTGCGTATCACTTGCGACTAATAGACTCTGACATGTAATGTCATACTTTGGTCATGTGCCACATTACAAGATAATATACGATGCAAAATATAAAACTGAATAGAGACTAACGCTGACTGAATGTCAACATAAAGCTGGGCCGGCAAGGCCGTCATAATTACTACAACTGACAAGCCAACAAAATATACGTACAGGGCCTTCAAGCCCAACATACTGCACTAACCGACAGGATATGTCCACAAGCCTCTACTGATAGATATACTGTGATCAGAACAGGGCTCTGACCTACCCGTAGCCTATCTACATATATACACAAGATGTACGCAAAACTTCTAGACCCGACAACTCCGAAGGAGGAGAAGCTTACCGATAAAGCTGAATTCGGGCAACACCTACTGAGGAGGTCTACTCGTCTGTCTGTCTGAACCTGCACGCATGAAATGCAGCGCCCCTAGAAAGGGACGTCAGTACGAAATAATGTACCGAGTATGTAAGGCAATATACTGAAAGCGAAAACTGAACTGATAATATAATAACGGAAAGCAACTGGGGGTCAAAGATAATTTAAAGATATGCTCACATGCTGATACTGACTCTATCCTCTCAATATAGTAAGTAAAATAGCTGTCCGGCCTTATAAGGCTTGGTATATATATATAACTGCTCTCCCGTAATAGGCTCTCTCATAGGCGCCCGACCACAGTAGGTTCGGTATATAACTTACCATCTGATCAGAGGTTGCCCAATAGGGGCCTGTCCATCGATTATAACTCGACGGTAATGAAAATACTGCAATACAATATATATAGACTCTCTGCTCTCTTGACTAGAAAAGGAAATACTCAATTGAATATGAAGTCCCGATAAGGAGAATATTGTAACTTACAAGACTAGGAAAATATACGTAAATTCTGGGATATGAATTTTTCTTTATGCCTCGTTATCAAACTCGTGTAATTACGAGATCATGCCAAAATGAAGGAAGGAATTAGCCTATACATACCTGGAGTAGGAAAATCCGTATGGTGTTATAAGAAAAGGTTACACCGTACTCCTTTAGATCGCAAAATTTTACGTTGCTACAGACCTTAACCATGCTACTTAATGTGTACAAATTCTTGATGAAATTGTTGAATTTGTAGAAATTCGTTAGTGTTTTGATTGTAAGGATTTTAGTTGAATATCTCTTTAAGAAATCTCTTTTTGAGCCATATCGGGTTGTAATCTTTTTGCCTTGGAAAATGTTAGCATGAGGTGTATTTTAATTAGCACTTTAAATTGCCACCTACCCAACATGACTTATGAGTCATTTGGGTTGTGTGGTGGCTTGCTGCCACATAGGGTGGGGAGGGTTTTTATTAAATCTTATCTTATAATTAATAGTAATTAACTAAGTATTATCCCGCTATCCGATAATTAACCAATTACTTACATAATTAAGACTTATCTCAAATTACGTAAAATTTTACTTATTTTTAATATACTTTATACATCATACTATTACGATCATATGGTACCTTATATGGTACTAGTCCATAAATATCGGATATTATAGGCCGGACCGTATTTTATCTCAAATTGACAACCTTCAACGAAACTCATTTTCTTTAATTTGTGTACCCTTTTCTTTATAGCACTTATTTATTGCTTGTTATAAATAGCATAAATATGCTAACCTCAAGACTGAGTCTATATCAATTAACTGAAGACGAAACTTTAACGTACGAGAAACGCGAGATGTAATAAGTTAGGCATTGGGTTATCTGCTGAATGCATAAGGGTCTACACTCACCACAAGAGAATACAGGAATAATAAGGAATGGATCTACACTTACCATTAAGGCATCTAATTCCAGCAATTAACTAGTACTAAACTCGTATGCTTTGAGAATGCGTTGTCCACAGAGAGCCAGCAAGCTTTCTTTATTGTTGTAGAACCAAGCTTAAAGTTGTAGATGACTAAATCAGCTCGACGCACACACTAAGCACAAGTTGAAAGGTATGTATCTTAATCTAACTTCAACACTGCACAGAGGCAGCAGCCTGCATGCTAGATTATGTACAGAATACACGGGCTAAATATTAGTAAAAAGTTGCAGTCGAACTTTGAAAAACTGATATATGCTTTTTCTTCTAATTCTGGCTTTATCTACATGATGTTGCTGCCAATAGCAGATCGCGTCAATTTTCAGTTATCTCGTCAAGTGTTGTACAATCAGACCTTGAGCTTGCAATCACTCTGTAAAGCTGCCAACCAGGAATCAACCTGGAAGAAAAAAAAGGAAAACATAGAGCATACAAATGGAAGATGAAAATGAATTGATTATGTTTGAATATATACATCAGATAATAGTTCTCCACCTTATTTGAGATGGAACAAACAAATGATACCAATGGGATATACCGAGACAGAGATCAGAATAGTTACTTCAAACAAAATGGTCCAGATAAAACCGTTACCTTCATCTTAGAAATACTAGAGCATTCATATTTCAGTCCATAACGAGTTGAGATGTAAAAGCAATATCGTTTGTCCTCATTGTCTCGTATCAGGCAAGGTAGAGTTCCAACTTCAATGATATCTGATAGGAGGGTTGAATCTTGGGGGCTTAGATCTGCAACATACTTATTCAAATTTATTCAAGAAATAACATCTTCATAGCTATGGGAAACATCAGAATATCCATATTCATCAAAACAGAATAGGACAGAATCAGAAATGATTTAGAGAGAGAAGCCCCAAGGGTATATAATGAAACTGCAGCTAAAGTTTGGAAGCATTCTGGAATGAAGTTAATGAACACGAAGCTAAGCCATTAAATCAAGAAAGATAACATAAAATGCAGAACAGATCGTAAAAGAACAAGAGATATGCCACTATAAGGTGAGATATTTAAAGATTCCGCTATTCCAAATAGATAAGATCATTGCTACCCCAACCACAGGTGTTTGTCCCTGCTCTATCTGCAATAGAGGAGGTGGAGGGTGAAGAATGGAAATTTAGGCAATGCTCTGCCCGAAAAGGTTCTTTAGAAAACCTTTAGCTTTCTAAAACAAGTTGCTTTTTTGTGTGTGTGTGAGAAAACACTCTTGTTCTCCATGGAACAAAACTGCACACCTCTAGAAAACAAAGGACTTTCTTTTATTCTGAATCAAACTAAAACCAAACTAAGCTTGCTTCAATAACACCCCACAAACTTTTAATATATGCTTCCTTTGATCCCCCGAAGGGAAGCCTTGGAGCAACGGTAAAGTTGCCTCCATATGACCTATAGGTCACGGGTTCGAGCCATGGAATCAGTTATTGATGCTTGCATCAAGATAGGCCGCCTACGTTACACCCCTTGGGATGCGGCCCTTCCCCCAACCCTGCGTGAATACGGGAGGCTTTGTGCACAGGGCTGCTTTTTTTTTTTTTTTTTTTTTTTTTTTTTACTTTGATCCTCCCTTATTTGTGTAACTTTGTCTTAATATCACCTGGCATTTCTTCCCTATTATTAGGTTCCTAAATTCTTTTTATCATTGATTAAAGGTATTTTAATAATGGCATATAGCACTAAGATGGTGCTGTGACATGTACATCCAAAAAGCAAAAGTTTATCCCCTTCTAGTTGTATTTGGAATCTATACAATCCACAAAGGTTTCAGCTTAATGCAGATATCCCATTTTCAACAACAACAACAACCCAGTGTATCCCACAAGCCCATTTTCAACAAATAAAAGCAAAAATAAGCAATTCAGCTTAATTGTCAAGGAGTTCATTGCCCTTGAAGCAACTTAGGTTCCTTTCTCTTCAGATCATCCACCAGATACAAGCTAGGATTGTGTTATGTTAATATGTCCCACATTGATTGTAAGAATATGTTGTTGTCTCCTTATATAATTTTGGGCAATCCTCACCTCACGAATTAGTTTTTGAGGTTAAGTTAGGCCCGATGTCCATTTCCTTAAGATGGAACCTATTCTTGGTTCACTCAATAAGACCCCCATGTTATATTTTCCACACGCCAAATGTCCAACTGTACGCGGGGGAGGGAAGGGGGATGTTAGAAGGTCACACATTGGTTGAGAAAATTGGATGTTGCCTCCTTAAATGGTTTTGAGCAATCCTCACCTCATAATTTAGCTATCTGAGATGTACATTTTCTTAACATGTCCCATAGTCGCTTCAAATCTCTTCTGTTCCATAGAGCATGTATGGCTCTAGTTTTCACTTGCTTTCACTGTGAGTTATAGCAAGTAAATATCCACTTGTCCTGCATTTTTCAAATCAAATTGTCTGCAGCATTAGAAATTAGAAAGTCCTCGGAGTGCCTCCTAGGTTAGGTGGTGTTTTGTCATCATCTTCACCTCCAGGTCGTTCTAGTTGAACACTCTGCTCCAGCTATTTCCAATTCTAAATGAGTGATCAGGACCACAGATTGATTAAATCTGGAGACCGCTATATTAAAATTGGATTTTATCTCACACCTAAGAATAGGTGTCTTTTATATTTTCACATGATAGCAGAGGATCTATAGTGTCGATAGAGACTCAAGTAAATTCTGCCAATAAGCAGGGGGTCACCTGCTTAACCAATTTTTTTTTCTCTTCTTCTTTCAGCGGACATCACCACTCATCACCAGCAACCAGCGACCAAAGGCGTCATAACTCTCTCCAGCGGCTGCTTTGGCTGCAGCACACCCTTTTCTGGCAATCGATCTGGCAGTATGACATCTTTTTTTTGGCAATCGCTCCGGTGGCACCATGTCTATTTCTGGTGACCATTCTGGCAGCATCGTGTTTCCTTCTGTAGTTGCGTCATGTTTCTTTTCAGTAAATGTTCCGGAAAAACCACGCTTTTTTTGAGATAGTTCTGCCGATCCTACGGCTACTTTTGTCACTGTTCTGGCACCGACGTGCCTCTTTTCAACCATTTTTTTGGCAGCAACCTTTTCTGACAAGATTCTACCTAGGTTCTCTGACGGTGTTTAATCTTTTTATATTTTCAATATATGTACAACTTTGTTCCCCTCATTGAGTTTGAGGGACATGTTAGAATCCTGTAAGTGTTAGTTTGAAGTTGGTTCATCATCTGTTAAGGATAATATGTGGATTGTATTCACACCTAGAAATAATATCTCTTATATTCTACTGTCACCAAATCTTCAACATCTTATTCTCTCTTTAATTCTTCACTCTTTCAAAAGAGAATGCTCTATCTAATTGTCGTGCTAGAAAGAGACTTTCCTGGCATCACCAACTTTGTAATTCTTTAGACAAAACTATGCTTCAGCGTCATAATGTGCCCCAAATTCCTTCCCCGTGAGTTCTTGTCACCAACTCTATACACCATTCTCCTCCTACCATATTTCTCTTTGATTAAACTCCTTGATAATGCTACCTCTTTGGCGTTAAATTTTCATAACCATTTCTATAAGCAAGCTCTTATTCAACAACCTCATATTTCTAAATCCCATTCAATCCCCTCTCTTTGGTTGTTGCAACAGTGCTCCATCTTACCAAGTGATTGGCTTCCTTCTCCTTGCTACCCTAACACATAAAGTTTCTCCCAAGTTTATCCAACTTGCTCTCCTCCTTAACTGACATAGGAAATAGTGACGGCACATTTGTCCGTGGTCAGTCTAGCACCCTGTTTATAAGCACTACCCATCTAGCACCCTATAAGTTTGTCTAGTCTGCCATTCTTCCGGATTTTTTCACCATCCCCAGCCATACACTGTCTTCTACCATTTTCTATGTCCTTTACACTCCCATTTATCGGTCTCTGGGAAAATGTTTAATTGACCTTGAAACATTGCAGACATAAGATATGAATATTTCACCCACCTGCTTGCTAGGTGTGGGTCAACCTGGAGGATTTTCGAGGTTTGGAAGGGTGAGGATTTTGGAACACACTAAAAATTGCCATCTCTAGTTTTTAATATCTCAAACCAGTTAATCTTGACTCAACAAAAACATCTAGGAGATACCAAGAAATTCAAGGTGATCCATTAGATTGTAATAAATACCAATAAATCGGCAAAAACCTCTAAGACGTCATTTGAGGATTATCTGGCTATCTAAATAAATGGTTGAGAAAATCTTCATACAATGTAAAATTCAAAATTTATCTGATAGAGGGGCTGGGCAAAAAATACAGTGTGATAGTACACCATTAAGAGCTTGGAATAACATGTTTACACAGTAGTTGGAGAGTATCAAGAGATGCATGCCTACAGACACTTAAACTGTTGAAAAAATTACCGGTGCTTGACGAATACCAGAAAATACACGACCCCTGAAGGACAAAAAATCTTGGAAGCCAATCATCAACATCAGTGTCATCAACTGGAAGAGGTTCTCCGGGTAAAGTTGCCCATCTCTATCGAAAAAAGGCAGAATAAAATTGTGGAACAAAAAATGTAAATTCAATGAAGTATTGTCTGAAATCCAAACAGCGTTAAGATGATGATAGCTGCTGGCTCTTTAATACCATTCTCATGTCCAAATACCCCGAAAGTCGTGCAGCCCGTACTACTTCATCAATGTGTTGTAATCTGTGAAGAGAAAAAATAATGAAAATCAAAAAGACAATACTCTTTTGACGGAGTAGTCATTACTTCTACTGAAGGCTCTTTTCCTCTCCGTTACATTAGTTAGTCGTGATGTTCTGTAGGACAAATTGGTGATCCTTGAACAGTACTTCACATTTGTCACGAGAGAAGATCCCTCGTTTTTGTTCAAATTGGGACTTGACTCCATTCTCAACTGTTTATATAACGTTTCATTCACTATTAGGTGATAGTAGCATAACAATAAGGGACTTTGGAGGCTGTTTAGAGAAGGTATTACATAGATAAATCAGGTCTTCTCACTTTCTGGGAACGCCAGTCATGCTATTTAAAATTTCTGCTGGTGAAATTTGATATGGATTTCCCTATACCTAGAAATGACAAAAACGCTTAAAGTAAAATAGTCATGTTTTCAATTACAATTTGTGTACTTGTCTTAGAATCAGAGACCCATCCCAGTGAGGAGACCTTTATTCTAAAGTAAATTCAATTCACATCTCTGGCTCCGATTTCTGTTTTGGATTTTGATTTATCCACTCAATTGCTCTTGCTAGGTCTTTGTACCCATGTTTGATGGAGCACCTACTACTGATTCCTCTTATATAATTGTTTCATAATTGGACATTCTGAACCCATGTAAGAGTACATTACGCAGCTTTTCCATCAGATACTCATCATTGCTCTACCTTTAACAAATTCTTCGTTTGAAAGGAAAGTGAAAACTGCAACACATTTCCATGTTTTTAACCCAATTCAACTTGGGAAATAAATTAAGATAAAAATTAGTGCAACTAACTTTGGCCCAATTCTATTGCTTTCATTAACCGAGATATCCCTTGTTTCTCGCTTTGAAACTCAGTGGATAATGGGGTCATCCCTCTACCCTTCTCCACTTAAAAACCAGACTTGGTTCAGCAGCAGATGCGAACTCGTGACCAGAACCTACCATACAGCTGTGTCATACTACTTTTGCCGTTGAACCAAATCCGGGGGCGGTTTGACTCAAATCCTTGTGGTCATTTCTGTTAGAAGTTGGAAAAATTTAAATTTATGAACATGTTAATATTACACTGATGATGCACTTAAAAACAGAGATGACCTTTTATGCTTTTGAATTCTCAAAATGATATTCATAGTGATCGTCAATGATGATTGAAGAGGAGCCTCGCAAGCATTAGGGATTGAACATGGTGAATGATGAACTATTGTAACCATATAATATATAAATAGCTATTTATTTTACAAGGTAAAATACTATTATCTAGAAATTACTATAACCACACCAACCTGCTAAATGCCTGGGAGACCCTTCTTAGTTTCACAATAAGAAAACAAAAGCACAATATTATCAAAGGGAAAACAACCCTACAAACGGTTATGTTTAAGGAAAAACAGCATGGGTTGCATAAGGCATGAGATAGCGCAAAATGGACGTATCGAATCTTACTGAGCTTTTAAATGTGCTTCTCTTTCTTCCAAAGCAGCAAGTTCTGACTGAAGAGATTCTACTTCTGCAGCAGTTAATACTACCTGCAAGGCATGATAACATCTGTAATCACTCTCTTCACCACCCCAAAGATAATGATGACCTTCAGAACAATTCAGTAGGAAAATACAAGCTAGACAGCTAGAGGATAACTTTAAAAAATATGTACCTTTTCTTGACCATCTGCGCCAGACATCCAAGTTAACTTGCTGAGGCTAAACAAATTCAACATTGAAGCAGCACCTTTCAATTTTCTTCTAGTCCGCGATCTACTAATGGATCTATTCTAATACGGGAGAAGCCGAATAAAACAAATAAAAATAAGTGAATTCCTTTACAAACATGTAACTCTTATTCACCTCTAATGTCTTTTAGAAGATATACCTCAAAGAATCATTACTCCCTATATATTTAGATAAGGATGGGCTCTGTACAGAGTCTTCACCAGATGTTGAAGCTTGAAAATGATCTTCAAAGACCTCTATTCCTCGAGGACCATCACCCATGCTGTTTATGTTTGCCAGCAAACCTAAAACTGGAATTAAGTGAAACCAGAATTAGCAAGTATAATCAGCATTCCCAACTCACAGATCCCAACCTCAGTGGAAAATATACTATTTATGATTATTGTCTATTACCTTTAAAGATGTAGAAGAATGACAGTTGTTGTATCATATTGAAATCACTTTCCACAAAGGACTTTAAAACTCAAATATTAAAAGTGTGACTCCTAAAGTACCTTAATAAATAATTTGGAAGGCATGAAGGGGCATACTACCTATCATAGATTATGCATAAGCTTACTGTTCCTGACATGATGACATGATAACTGTTTATGAGCTTTTAACATCTATAGGAAAATGAGTTTTGTAAAAAGTAGGAACACCCTCCCGTAGTCAAATTCCATAATAGACTTTTTCACTCCATTCTAAAATATTCAAAACAATCTCACCCAAAGGTTTTTTCAATTTCTTTCTGCTTGCCTTCCCTTCATCTGACATCACTTACCTTTTCTCTCTTCTCCGGATTAGGTTTCCTCAGCAAATACATGTGCATAAAAGAGTGAAGCATTTCGAGTCCATGGCGTTGATCAGCAAGAGTTGATCTACTAGAATTTAGTCCATATGGATATCAAATGAGCAGATGAGGCGCGGAGATATTGCCACAACAATAGAGATTCCACAGATCTTAAGTCTGAGTACCATCTTTATCACTGTCATGTTTCATGCTTTCTTATGACAGAAATCTTTCAGGATTTTCAGAGCATATCTCGGATATAAAGCTTTTAAGCTCTTCTGGGTGCTATCATACCAGCTTTGACTGGAGAAGATTGATGTTATCTTTAATAGGGTGTGAAGAGGAGCCAGAAGATTCTCTTTCCCCAACAATTTTCACAATAGTAGGAAGTTGATGCTTTTGATATCGATATGCACAATATTTCTTGGATATTATGCCACAGAATCACTTAGTCGACTCCAAAAGGTGGAAACTCAAGTATATGTTGGTGGTCAAGCCACTAATGAAGATAGTCAAACAATGATATCCAACCTCAATGATGGAGAAAAATTCTGGAAAGGATGGCAGGTTTAATAAAATTTTAAAGATGGATTCAGTAAATGACTGTCATCAACTTAAAACCAGACCAGAGATCGATAAAGATAAGTTTAAAAGGTGTACTCATGGCTAGTTACGCATTTGGTCTGACTATTGCTCCATGTGTGCACTTTATGACTTAGGTACTTCTGCTCTTTACTATAACATGCACAAACACTATATGATGAGTTTTATTCATATTTGGGCCCAAAGGAGGCAGAAGCACACACCCCATCTTTGAAAATTTATGGCAAAGCTGGTATTTCCTGGATTCATGCCATTGGCAGTGTATTGAGATTAATGGCTCAAATTATTGCAGGTTTGCCTCAATTTCCTATCATACCTCTTTCTTCCCTTTCCAAACCCTTTTACATATGGTTTCAAGTTTATTATCTATTACCATTATCCATCCCACCAGGCTACCATGACGAGATTCGTGCAACATCAAGATTTTCAACACCATTTCAAGGAGTTGAGAATACTGATTTTTAAATCATATTCTGCATTAATTAAGACTGCTATCCACATAGAAAAAGGGTATGTTATCATCCTGAAAACACTTAAACCAAGATCACTTATTTCCCTTGTGGAGAAAGCCACTTCTAAGATAGAATACATGCATGGCTCAACTTCTTGATTCAAATCAAAAACTCCAAGAGTACAAGGAGTGGCACCTACTAATCAAAAGTCCTATTAAAGTTATCAAGAGAAGGCTAAATCATCGACTAATATCCCATTATGAATACAGTATGATAATGCAAAAGGAGACAAGGGTGAGGCACAGAACATGTTCTATCCTCGACTTCCATCAGTCATTAGTAATCTCGATTCACTTGTCCTATTCACTAGTACACTGCCCGCTAGAAGTAGCAGCTCCTTACTACTAAAGTAAGTAAATGGGCTAAATTCCAGAAACACAAACATGAGTTTAAGTTATATACATGAATAGTGTAAAGAACTTTTATCTTACGGTCCATTGCAAGGTATGGGACTTGAGTCCCACATCGGTATTGCAATGTGCTGATGTGGGGCTTATATAACCTTGGGCTCTCCCGCCTTAATAGCTAGCTTTGGGGGTGATTATCCCTGGGTTGTCTCAATGGTCTCAAAGGCACCCAACACCCTCTGTGCCCATGTGTAGTGGATGGTGACGCTGATATTGCAGTGTTTACTCAGCGGTAGAAATGTCTAGTGCACAGCCAGTTACGGGTACCTAGGCACCTGACTCGAAAATGGCTACCTAGGTAAGGGCTACATACTTGTGTTAGAGTGAAAGCTACCCTGTGTGGAGCCGTCGAGGACGACAGATGCGGAGCATGGTAGTTTTGTATGGTCCATTGCAAGGTATGTCACTTGAATGCTACATGGTCTTGCAATATGCTAATGTGGGGTTTATATAGCCTTGGGCTCTCGCACCTCAAGAGCTAGCTTTGGAGTGTGGTTCTCCCTAGGTTGTATCATTTAACACTGTAAGGCTGCCTTGACTTATTGTAGCAGATAACTTGACTTATTCTCAAGATTACAAATCCTAATTTTACTGGAGGATTACATGTAAATATCTTTTGGGTGACCTAACAGTGTATGTAAGTTAAACTCCACAAACATTATCCAATAAATTCATTCCATATTTACCACAAAAGGGGAAAAAAAAAGTCTTATTCTGAACGGAAATTAAAAACTCAAAACGCAGAACATAAACTTGAAGTAATTCTGGATAAGATGCACGAGCTCAATTACCTATCAGATATCAACAGAGAGTAGAAGATCAACTTCCACTAAAGCTTAATAATAAAGCCTTTACTTAATAGTGTTAATTATCTGCATAAATGAAAGCCCAAAAGAGCTTCAAAACTCAAAATTTTGATGTTACATACATGTACGATGACTTTTTTCTAAGAACAAAAAACCACCCAAATTCACTTCAAAACAACTGTATTCTAGAAGGAAGAGAAAGTACCGGAACTTGTTCGGTATTGATATTTGATCAGACGAAATTATGCAGAGAGAACGAAGACGGAGGAGGAGAAAAGTTCCTTGTGCTCTTGAAAAGTGGTTAGACATAATGCAGACAGCCATTTTCGAGAAGGAATATGATGATGAGAATTATGATTGGTCAAGTGGTTGAGTTATGATGTCTGGTCCCACAATTAAAAAAAAGACAAAATACCTTATACCACCTCGAAACATGGCACTCATTATTGGTTATGTCCTTGAACTGATCTTAATTATCCTTTATACTTGATTATTCAATAGCTGTTACTCCCTTGGATGATCTCATCCCTGAGAAGTGGTATGCATTCGCCTGCCACGTAGATTTTTCTCTTTATTTGACATTTATTTGAAAAATAAAATATATTAAGTATGTTACTTTTTTAGATAATTTTTTTCGAATAAAATTTATAATAAAATTTGGATAGAACTACATTATTTAGGCTAATTCTTTTTATTTGGCAAAAATAATAAAGTTTTAGTTATTCTTTTTTTGAATTTGACATGAAAATAAAGATTTATACAATTGAAATAAATAATCAAGGCATCTAAAAAGTTATAAAATACATAGTTTGAAATTTATTATTTTGGCTATAATTTTTTATATAGCTCTAAATTATGGTGATCTAAAAATATTTTTTTTTTACAGATTTTACCTGAAAAGTAAAAATATACAGTTGAAATAAATAGTCATTGCATCAAAAGAAGATATAAAAAGAGTGTACAATTGCACGTTCATTATTTTGGCTATATGTTTTTTATTTGGTAAAAAATAATGGAGCTATGGCTAATTTTTTTTTATTGGTTTGACTCGAAAATAAAAATACACAATTAAAATAAAGAGACATTATATATAAAGAAAAAAGACAGGAAATATACACCACTGGTATTCCATTATTTTTGCTAAAAGTTTTTTATTTGGCTAAAATGATGGAGTTTCTACCAAACGTTTAACAAATTCGACCAAAAACAAAAAAAGAAATATGCAGTTGGAACAAATAGACATTATATCTTAGAAGAAATTAAAAATAATAAAAGCTAGAGTAAAGTCTACCTTGTATGTTAAGATGAAGCAAGAAGAAATACATAGTTATAATAAATAAATCATTATATATGACTATATGACAATTAAAAGTTAAAAAATAACCGATTTGGAAGCTGTTTTTTTAATTTTTTTCCACTCCCACACGCTTAAAAAAGAGTGCACCCACACTCTTTGCCACATCAGCGTCCAAGGGGTAATGACTCTTAAAAGGCCAAGTTGAGGGAGGTAACTAAGACCACAAATAATTAAGGCTTGTAACTAATAATCCGTGCCAAGTTTAGGGAGGTTTTTAAGTATTCCACCTTTTAAAAAATATAAGGTCTATCCATAACGAAAAGGCAACCCGGTGTATAATTAAGTTAGTTTCTATCAATGTGCGTTACACGTTAAACATTCACCTTATTCAAGTTGTAGAGTGTGTACCTGGAAATTGAAAGGAAAAGAAGTGAGGAATCAGCAGTAACAGTATAGCAGAGCCCAGCGACAAGAAACGACCAATAGAACCAATTTCTAAACCCCCAAAATGATGGTCAATATCCAAAACCAGTTTCAGTCGAACAAACCCAGCAAAATTCAAATCAAAACCTTTTAAAACCCAAAATTCAATTCAATTCAGCACTAGCCCGAGTCAGAAATTGCTTCTGCAAATTGAAAATTCCAAAAATTCTCAGAAGGAGTTCAATGAAACAGTCACTTTATTAAAAAAATTCGGCTCTATTTTCCCCCCTGTATTTTAGCTATTTCAGCCTTCCAGCTCTCCCTTGAATGTCAAGTTAGGATGCCTTTATAGGCAAGCTATTAGGGTAGCATAAAAAGAATTCAGATTTGCATTTTTAACCTTCTGATCTTTTTGTTTCTGCTCAAATACCCTTAACTTAAAACTCAGATTTTCATATTAGCCCCTACCCTAGCTTCCTAGAAGTTTCCTTAGGTTGTTACAAAAGATTCCCTTACCTATACTACCCATATTACCTTTAACAACCCTATTTATTACCTCTAGGACCTCAAATGGGTCATGGGTCAAATGACCCAATGATCAAACCAGACTTGGGCTCGAAAAAACTCGAAAAAACCATTCGAACTCTTAGAATGGTTTATGAAATGAATTCAGATCCCAAATGAAATGAACCCAGGTTGAGCAGACTATGGCAAACAATAGGAAAATGACTAAAACAACTTTCAGAAAACTTAAAACCTAAGCTAAAGGATTAAATTGTCATATAATCCTAATTAAACTAGTCAGGGCTAAACAAATAAAATGAGATCAGAAATTAATCGTGTTGTTAACAAAAGAAACTAGACCGACCAAACAAAAATCACAGAACCAACTTGGAACGGAAAACTGAGACGGAACAAAAATGGACAGTACTCAATCTTAGCTAGAAAACTCGTTCAACTTTATTTTAATTAACTAGAGGGAACGAGAAGAAGAGAAGAGGAAAGAAAGATGAAGGAATCACAAGCGAAAACGAAGGGAAAGAAAGAAACTCACCGACTTGGGCTCAACCCTTTGACTGACTTTCCGATTTAAAACCCCGAATATCGTCAACTACTTGTTCTTTGTCAAAAGCTATTCCGTGGTAGAACTGGCTCGGAACACTCATAAAAACTGGGAAAACACCGTTGCATGCACAACTTTGGCTTTGGCTTCTGGGGATCGAACCTTGGATTTAAGATTCGAGACGTTCTAGCAAAATTCGAGGGGAATGGAGTGTGAATTTGATACAAGGGGGTCATGGCAATTCTATGGTGTCAATTTGGTAGTGACCAGAGGTGGCTCCGCCACCGGAGGAAATGAGGGCGACGCTAGGGTTTGTGCCTTCAACCTCAGATTTGAGGGGTCCTGAGTGTGTTCGAACGAAGTTGGTTGTGGATTGGGATTGTGGAAGGGATGAGGAGTTTAGGGTGTGAATATGGTGGTCATCGTAGGTGGCGCCGCCGGCCTGAGGTGGTGGGAATTAGGGCGGCTCAGTTAGGGTTAGTTGGGGACGATGCGGTCTAGGAAATGAGATGGGGGGGGTACGAGATTCGGACATACAAATAATAAACCCACCCCACTTCCCCACCGTTGGATTGGGCCATCCTCGACAGCTGAGATCACTGGGCACGAAAATGGGGTCGTTTTGAGTTAGGGAGGTGATGGGCCGGGTTAGGGGACGGATTGGGCTTGGCTTAACGGGTTTGGGGGAGGAGTCCGTTTGGGGCTGAGTGTTTTAAGTACAAATTGGCCCAAATTTGTCTTTCAATTCCTTCTCTTTCTTTTCTTTTCAATTCCCTTTCTAAATTTTTTTTTAATTAATTTTTTTTTCCAAAATTAAAATAGAAAATCTAAATTACTTCCTAGAACCCCATTAACCTAAAAACACTAATTAGACTTAAATGATAATTAACCCAACTAACAAATTAAAAAGAAAACTACTAAAATCAAAAATTAAAGTTAAAAGTGCAAATTAAATTATTTTTTTTGTTGTGATTTTCCCTTTTTTATACAAAAACTAATTACCAATTAATCCTTAGAATGCAAAATTAACTCTTAAATGCACATGCAACACTTTTTTTTTTGTATTTTCCATAAATTAGAATAAAATAAACATGCACAAACAAAGCAGACAATTAACAGAAAATGCCACGAAAATCCTCAAAATTGCAAACACTGAAAGAAATTATTTTGTTTTGAATTTATGGGAGTAATTCATGTAGGGCAAAAATCACGTGCTCACAGCTGCCCCTCTTTGCTCGGAAACACGAAGAGTTTTCGTGCAAAGATAAAGTGAGCGGATACGAGTGATTTTTTTCCCGTTTGAATACTCCGTGGGAAGCATTTTGAAAGATTTGACCGCACCCTGCTTTCGAGGTTGCCTACATATCCTTAGCTAAAGAGGAATCAGGTTAGTGTAGTTTGAGAAGTTTTGGTAGCTGGGACTACCATGAAGTTGTGATTTCACTGTTGCTGCTGCTGCTGCTTACTGCATCTCCTTATTACACCATGATAAAATAAAAAGAAGCTAGACTATACTATGGTCTGTGCGTTACAAAATCCTATCTATATCTTCAAACTTGCTCTTGTGGTTCTTGTTGCCTTGTTGACTTGTATTCTCCTGGTGGAATCCCTTTGTTGCCGCCTTGAATTATAATCTGAGATGTTTTCCTTTTCTCCAGGTGGATGCCTGACTGCCAACTACACTTTGAGATATGTTTCTTTCCTCCCGGTGGACGCTTAACTGCTGAACTTNGTTGTTATCTAATCGAGATCTTAAAGCTAAGTCCCATTATTCAGGAGGGTCCTGGAAACTCCTAATTGAATCGTATCTCGAACATGCAAATTTCTAAGCTAACTTATATTCCTTCGGGATACATTTATACTAGATTATGCTATTTATAAACTTTAAACTAGGTCTCATTTTCCAAGAGGGTCCTGAAAATCAAAAAATCAAATCTGTTTGGTGACTGCCTTTCTCCACTGAGGGTTTCTCCGAAACAAACGAATTTTCTGCCCCTGTTTCAATCAAAGAAAATTTTGTCAGTCTAAAATGGTGGTTAGCTGATGGCATTCTTGCTGAAGATCTTTCCGCTGCATCGTTTTGTTCTGGCTGGCTTCTCCGAACTGGCCCTGAACCGCTTTGACTTTCCGACTGACTTTCAAACCCCACGACCTTTGACGAACCGAGTGTTCTATACCCCTGCTGTTGTTTTACCTCTGACCCCTTTATCTGAACTTTTGCATCTCCCATGACATTACCAAACCATTCCACCTATGAAACTTCCGGTGATTCCTTGTACCCCCCTCTTACATCATGTTATCCTTAGTATGCTCCAACCACGATGTGCTTTGCAATTTTGGAAGTTGGTAGTGAGTTTTGAAATCCTTTTTCACTTGCTTTGAGTAGGACTGACATTAAAACATCTTAGACAAATAAACCCCAAAAGAAAAATGAAATGCAATGACTTTGAGGGTTAAAGATAAGAAGAATCCAAAACCAGATAACTGCTACAAAAGGAAAAAAGAAAAAGAAACTTATTTGAGTGGAACAGCTAGTACCAATGA